GCTAACTTCGACGATATTTACAATTTCCTGACAGATCAGCTGACACCAGAAGACTTCTGTGACCTAGTTGGTGGGTAAACTAATGTTTTTTGTCCAGTAATTCAGAGGTGTATATATACCTACTTGATATTTTTAGAAATACGTGATACTTTTTTAAGCATTAGCAGAAAATTCTGTTGTATATATTTGCCTTTATGGAAAATGAAAACTGATTTAGTTTTAAGATTATTCTTTGTCTAGATGTGTTATACAAGGAACTTGTCCTGAAAGTGTTTTCTGTGATCTGTAGACATTTCATATTTTTACTTATTTTTACTTATCTTTATAGAAATGTGTGAAAACAGAATGCACCAGAGTGGACAGTACACTCGTCCTGCACTTTCACACTCTGGTGATGAACCTTGTGACTTCTGTGAAGCAATTGTGCAACACTGGAGGGAGATTCTTACAGCAAATACCACTGAAGAAGAATTCAAAGAGGTATGTTTTATTTTTATCATAAAATGATTCTGAGAAGAGAGGAAAGGTAATAGTTTAAAATGTTTTAGATATTTCGGAAGAATAGACTATAAATTACCTTCCACTACCCGTTTCTCACATGGGAATTCATGCGATGTTGTTTTATGGTATTGGCGTATCTCTTTGCCTATGCTTGACTTGGTCATGGCTTGGGGTGATGGGTCATTTATATCATGACTGACTTGGCTGTATGTAACAAACCATTCATTATGTTACTATGATTCATGTGCTACATTTTATACAGTTCTTTATAAGGTGCCCTCATGGTATGTCCCATGGCCTGGGGTATTGCCTGAGGGAGAATGGGATGTGCAGTACCCCTATGGGCTATTGTTTTAAAGGGCAGTAAAACACTTCAATCATTCGCCTGCTGTGCCAGTCTCCTCATTTCAACAAGATTGTTATATGGCACTGTCTTGAAGTATGACACTTAAAAGGGAATTACTAAAGCCATGGGAATAGCAGCCTATTTCTGCATGCAATCTCTTATTTCAGAAGAATGAGATTTGCAAAAATAAGAGAAAGTTCTTTTTTTTATCCCTCAATAAAGCCACATTCCATCTTGCACATACTGTAATACCTGATTTATTGAAAAGGACTCATATTTAATCTGGCTACTACTGGTTCAATATAGCAAATTAAATGAATATCATGCATCTCTGAATATGTAAAAAGATTAAAATCATGGATACATGTGATACAAAAAGAAATCATATCACTTCGTTGTTGTGATTCAGCTTTGTCTGAAATAGGCTTCAGAGGCAAGCCCAGTCGGATGAACAAACTCCTTGGATCAAAGGCCCTGTGAACCCCAAATTCTCTTGGTGGCATTGGCTTAAAAGGATGGTATTATTTTGCATACCAAGCTGAATAGCTTAAGATTTATATTGTATACAGGATGGACAAATTATTCAATTGTTGGAAAACCACAAGTTTTATTCTATATTAGATATCTTCATTTGTCAGTATTTGATGCCCTTCTTTGTTATTAATCCTCCCTTTTTTCTTTTGTAAGGAATTACTCTTAACTATTTATTGAAAATGATTGATAGGTGCTTGTTGAGAACAATTTTGAAGTAAAATGTGAATATTAGAAAATTATTTTTTATGAAGCTGGTTTCAAGTGAACAGATGTCTTATTTATTTTTAGTAGTATGAATTTGCTGATAAAGAAAATAATCAATAGATGCATCAAGTATTCAAACTAATAAATTTTCTTTTGAAACAGATCCTAGATGGTTTGTGCCATCAGACTGGCAGGTTCAGCAAGAATTGTCTTGCTTTGGTAGATGAATATTACCAAATTGTATACAGCTTCTTGATGTCTGAAATCCATCCCAAGGAAATCTGTGAAGCTGTAGGACTCTGTGGTGCTAATTCAGTTTTCAATGGAGAGGTTTGTTGATTTCTGTTTTTTATTTATTTGCGAAGGATTGGTATGTATTTGAGCATCTGTTTCAACTTCCCATGAATAATATTTTGCAATATTTTGTTGAGTAAACATTAATGGGGCACAATGAGAAAGCATTTAATCAGTGTTTGGATGAAATGACTATACAAAAATTTCATTCCCTAGCATCCAGCTTGGACAGTGCTTGATGTAAGGCATAGAGTTGCACAAACTCCTCTCAGGCCATCACTGATGGTTGGGCAACACTTGATTGGTGGAGATGAGAGCAGTGCCATCAGATTTGAGAATGAAAACCAAGGTTCAAATCTGCCGCGTGTGAAGCTATCAAAAAGTGGCATTGGTAAGGTTGATATTTACTGTAATGAATCATCATGAGTAATTAGACCCTTTTTGATATTAAATGAAATTCTTAATCTTTTGAAAATATTGTAAAATGAATATCCATTTGTGTGCATTTACCTTCTTTAAAGCATCTAACTTAATAGAAATTCTTGTCAATAAGTGATATATACATAGAAGGGATATCTATGTTTTATTTTATTTTTGCTCTTGTCAAATATCAGATGTGTCAAGTGCTGGTAGGAATGGGATGTTGGCTGCACCTGTTGGAAAGGGACGTGTTGGGGATGACAACAAGTGTGTGATGTGTGAATTTGCTCTTCATTTCCTCCAGAATATGCTTGAGCAGAAGGACACTCGTGTTAGTATTTTTGATAATTGGTTTACTTTTGTCTTTGCTTGCTTATTCCTGTAGCTACCCTATTTTTTTCTTATGATATTTTAATTCATGTTTACAAGTTTGGTTTTAATCAGTTTCATTTATAATAAGACGACTAATTTCATTTAACTTTTGCTTTGCTGCTGAAGTCTGTTGGAGTAAGTTAGAAACCATGCAATTTACAGATATTACACATTTCTTGTTATTATTTTTTCCTTTTCCTCTGAACTGTTCTAGTATGCAAAGGCTTTCCTTTAATGCATATTAGAATACAAATATTCAAAATAAAAATGATTTATGTACAATTGATATAAAAATGCATTATCAGATAATCAGAAGGGGAAAAGTGAAATATGACATTGATTAAAATTGGGAAATGAATTGTAGAAGGACATCGAAGATGCTGTTGAAAGGCTGTGCACCATGATGCCCCATTCACTGGCAGAGGAGTGTGAGGACTATGTAGATGCCTATGGTGACCAAGTTATCGAGTTGCTGGCTCAAGAGATTGACCCATCCCAGGTAAGAAAGCGTGAGTTAATGATTAATCAATTAGTGCAGAATTCATGTTACCAGTATTTTTTACTTCAATATTTTGGGTATGCTAACTAAGGTTTGCTTAAAGAAAATTGGTAATAGGACTATGTATGTACTATATTTGAATTTAGAGATGAAAAAAGAAAGAAAAAATTGTAATAGAATTATCTACGTTTTTTTTTTCCCCCATCAAGATCTGTCCTATGCTGCATCTCTGCCCATCTGAAGGGGAGACAGAGGAGGCAGTACAGGTCACTTCTGGAAAACCTGACGTATCTTGTGTTGTGTGCGAGTATGCTTTGACACAGCTGGAGGACATGCTGGAAGATAACAGAACTGAAGTAAGTTGGTAGATGTATGGTGGATTATAAAATGTATGTAATTATGTTGGATGGATAATATCTTTGATAATTTGATTAGGTATATGATATATTAAAGAATCTCAGAATATCCATTAATGGAGAATTTGTGTGTGTGTTCAGTGTACATAGCAGTCAATATTCCCACATGTAAGACACCCGGAAAAGTAAACATTACCAAGCGTCACGCCAGTGCGATGCTAGATCGATGCTAGATCGGAGCTCGCGCTCTGAATTTATCACCTGGAAAATATTATTTTCGGATTGAAAATGTAGCCGTCGCTAGTGGGTTGATTTACACAAGTTACATAGTATTCATATATAAGGCAGTTATGCTAAAGAAACAAAGGAGACTAATATGCCGAGATTTAGCTTTAGTTATGTTTTTCTGCTGTACGAAAATTTTTCAAATGGATCTAAAGAAATTTTATAGATTCTTGTAATCAGAAATGTAATTATCATTTTATATATTTGCAGGCAAGCATTGAGACTGCTCTTGAAAGGTTGTGTGCCCTTTTGCCCAAGTCAGCACGTAAGGAATGCAACATGTTTGTTGAATTGTACACTGATCAGGTCATACAGATGTTGCTCAACAACTTGTCCCCGGATGAAATATGCACTAACCTGGGACTGTGTAAGCAAACAGGTATGAGTTGTATACATTTTTAAATTGTAGTGTGTATATTTTTTTTTACCATAAAAATGTCTTCTCAGAGAAGTGATATACATAGTCAAAAAGAGCATGCTAAGCTCCAAACGAAAATAAAATGCCTTAATAAAACAACAAGAAAAGCATTCTGTAAAGATAGTGTTGGTTATTGCTAAGGTTGATATGCACTTTGTATATCTTGTTATATTGATTGTTTCACCTGGGATTAATTGTGTAATTCCATGGACAAAATAGGTTTATATATTTTATATTTTTTCAAGCTGTGGAGTGCTCATTATTTCCTTTCTGATCCCACATGTGATGTCCAATTATATCTTGAAAAGAAAAAAATCCCTTTTTTATTCAAGTGTGTTTATTATAAGCTTGAACAATTTTCAGGTAATAATCCCTTAAAAGAAAGGCATAGCACAGACTGAGATGTGCCTTGCAAGGTTATATTCACTCTGTCTACACTTGAACAGTGCAATTAAAATAAATCAGGAACCTGTATCCTCAAACTTTATGGGAACACTGGCAGAATAATCCACCCAAAAATTATCAAGCCTAGACTTTATCTGGTGACAGTGTAGTGTTTTCAAATTTAACAATATAAACCTTCTTCCTAAATAACAATGTAAAAAAAAAGGCCTAAGCAAATTTTGTCACATATATTTAAAGATTTGAAATGAAGTGCATATGAAAGTATATGAAAAACAGACATTCCCTGTCTTTATTTCTTATTCTGATATTAATATCCTTGGCAATAAGTCTTACAGTTTACTCTGGCTAGAGGATGAATGTTTTAAAATAATGGTAACAAAAAAAAAAAAAAAAAAAAAAAAAAAAAAAAATAAATGGAATTAATATAAAAGCATGTAAAAAGTTATATAATTGTCTATGGCTGTTCATTCCCTTTCCCTTTCCATTACATTTACAAATTGATTATCATTTAACCTAAATGTTTGTTTATCCAAAGAGCAAAAACAAATGTTCCTTATATATTCATTTGTTCTCCCCTGTCCTTTCATGAAACATGAATTATCATTTGTTGTGTAATTCTTAAAGTATACACATTTTTTTAGAGAGTGAACCTTTTGTAGAAAAATGTATTACAATTCCTGTGTTTTTTTGTCTTGCCAGGAGAATATTATCTGCTTTCAGCCAAAAAGTTTATGCTGCCTAATTAAGTCTAGATTACATAAAACATGATTATATATGATACACAGATGCTTCATGACTGAACAAGAGAGAAAAAATATGGAAACATTTATCCTTTAGCGAGTGTAAGTTGTAAACAGTATAAGTAAGTGAGGGCATAAAGATAGGTAATGTCTTTTTCTTTGTCCTTATTTATCCATTTAATTTTAAGTATTAGAGAATATGATAGCTTTTTCAAGCGGTATTTATTTAACAATAGGGCATATATTGGTATACTTGAATGCACTAGTTTTACCAGATAAAATCCCAGCTTGATAACCAAAGGGTGGCCATGAATTTACTTGGCCAACTGTACCTATTACTATTCAGCTTGTACTTTATTTTAAGTTAGTACTATGTTACGTCAGTTTATTACGTATGGTACATATTCATTATTATGAAAAGAAGAATGAAGAAAGCAGAATTATAGTGTTCAAATTTTTTAAATGCATAGAAGTCTGTTAACATTTTTTCCAGTTTTAGTTGTGGGATGTATACCTTTACCATCCTTATTTTTATTATTTATGTTGTAGGTGGACTCATCATTAATTGTTTTTTATTAAAGGCATAAAGGGATTCGATTTGAAGTCTTCTTTTTAACATGTGAAAAGAAAAACTTCTAAAATTATCTAATATCTTTGCACTTATTTCTTAGAATAGTTTTCAGTTGTCTTCAATGTAAGAATTTCCTTTCCAGAAAGTGCATTGCCTATGCTTGATGCCTCTCACCAGTTGCCAGTCTCTCGCATGTTTGTCCCAGCTGTATCATCACGTAAGTTACTCAGAGATTAGCTACCTTCAACACAAGTTACTAATGTTATTGATTAATCTTATTATGATTTTTCTTGTATTTTGTCTTATGATTTAACCCTTTGGATGCTTGAAAGAGGTGGAGAAATGCTCCTCTGAGATGTCCATTTACTGGTCAAAACAAGAAAATTGACAAAGTATTTTCAACACTTTATGATACTGATAAAAATATGAATTTTATTAATATAATTAAAAAGAAAGAAAGAAGGAAAGAAAGAAAAAGATAACATTTATGGAGTTCAAACTAGCAAGTTACATTATTAAAATTCATCTCATATCTTAAACACTACAAAAGCTACCTTGATTTGATTTAGTAGTTTTAAATACTTATAGGATTAAGAGTTTAATGTAAATTAAACTTATTAACCTTTTTGGCTAGGATGACAGTGATTCAAGTTTAGTGATTGTTTACACTGTGGCAGCAGCATTACTGCTCTGTGCACAATTGATATCTCCGACAAGAGGTGTACACCTCAGGGTTTCTTTTCCTCCCTCACCATGATACTGCTGACTGGATGATGCAGGACCTCACTCTTGTAATCTAACATGAGGTTCAGTGAATAAATACAGTGCTATCTGGTGCAAAACTTGCATACCACATTCTGTCACAGTTGGGAAATAAGGCAAACAATGCGTTTTTTGGCATTTTGGCAGCATTTACTGCTCTCTGTAATACATCAATGGCTTCACTAGTACTTTAGAGTCAGAAATGCATTTTGGGGGTTTTTGTTTGGCAAACAATGCGTTTTTTGGCATTTTGGCAGCATTTACTGCTCTCTGTAATACATCAATGGCTTCACTAGTACTTTAGAGTCACCAAGGTGTCAATTGCTATTCCTATCTATCTCACCTTTTTACCCTCTTCCTTGATTTTCAAAATGGTATTTATTCATTTTTTATTGCCATTTGTATTTTTACAACATTATGGTAATCATAATGTCATTAACAATAATAACTATTAGGATTGATAGCATAAGAAAAAAATCAGAATGGGGAAATCGGTTGAGATTACATCGGCCTACTAAGCATTTGTGGAGCAATCTATTGTATCTAGATGCTTTACTGCTGTCACATGGCCCAATAAACAGGTATTAACACTCAAGTGCACTGTAAAGTCTCCTGTCACTCCTTTGCAATGTTATTTTCTCTTTTTCTGCAAAAGCATTTTTAGTTTTTTTGCCATTTTCCAATTCATATTTGTCATTTGATTTGTTATCCTGATTTCCCATGTGCAGACTCCATATCTCTCTAAGTAGCCTATAACTCTGTGGAATAGTAATAATAATGAGCAACATTTTGTTACTTTTTTTTTTTTTTTTTTTTTTGTAAACTTCTATTTCTGTGATACAACCTGCACTGCCAGTCATAGTGGTCAGGAGGCCAGGAATAGGATAATGAGTTCAGACATAGCCTCTTCCCAAGAGCCAGCATTCTTCCAGTCATTGCTCGTGGTTTGTACACTCCACATTTCTTTATCAGTGGAAATAATGCAAAAGCCCCTTCCTAAATGCCCACTGAGTCTAATCACCCTCTGAAGAGAGTGATTAGTGCACTCATGGTGAGTCATTCCTATCACCCTGGCCTTCAGCCAAAATGCTCATGACTGTAAATTTGCATTACCCCAGCCCATAAAATCAAAGCAAACAATTTTCTTTCGTAGAAACGACAGACGACTTCGAGATGACACAGTCTGCAGCATGTGTCTTATGCGAGTTTGCAATGGTTCAGGTTGATGACTTGCTCTCAGAAAATGCTACTGAGGTTAGTGAAAATCCACATTATAATGATGGGATTGATGCATTACTAGCCTTGATCTTGTAGTTGCAAATAGACACAAAAGATACAAAAATATATGCTGTAATTGCACAACTTCTTAATTTTGATTGAAGTGTGTAGAAAATTTAGTAATATTCATGGTATGAAAGAAATGTTACATATTTGTAATTTTACTATACACAAGTATAATTGGTTTAGATGAAGAGATGAATATGGTATCTAATGTTGATTTTGATGTGAAAGTACATTCTGAGAAAAAGTTTATTTTTATTAATATTTTTTATTTGTATTACTACAGTTGTTGGTAAGAATGTTATGGATGGTAATAATGATATCAGTGATGTTATTATCAATTGTAATAGTAATAGAAATAAGATTAATATTTAAGATTGATATGATTGAGGGCTACTTTAAGGTATGATTGATATCTAAATAAAATTAGATTTTAATTTTTTGCCTGAAGTGAGAGAGATAATCATCAGTAGAAGTTCAGTCTGATATGGACATTGGTAATAGTTAAAAGTGGATACTAATGTTCTTATGATTTAGCTTCAGTTCTCAAGGAGCACATCCTTGCTGAACATAGTATTTGAAAGGTATTCACTTTCTTATGTTTTTCAGTAGTAGCCCATATTATAGTTGCAAAAGAAATACTGGAACTATTGATGATGGTTTTAATATTTGCCCACTCTTTTTTCAGGATGCAATAATTGAAGTTGTGGACTTCGTTTGTGCTCATATGCCAGGTGTTCTTGCTGATGATTGTATTGGCTTCATTGAACAGTATGGTGATGCTATCATCAAGTTATTGGTTCATGAACTTAGTCCAAAGACTGTTTGCCAACAGATCAAGCTTTGCAAACCTCCATCATTTGAAAGTAAGTTCATCACAAACAGAATTTGAGATTCACATTACGAAAATGTTTGTAGAATTTTTGATTGGAGATGACTTAGTACTGTGATGTCATTCTACTGTATGCTGTATCAGATACAGTTGATGTAATCAAAGTTATTATTATTATACAGGTATGAGAGCCCTTATTAATATTAGAATGGACAAATGCCAAGTTTGTGAGGGAGTTGTTAACTATATTGACAAGAAACTAAAGGATGGAGATGCAACAACCACCATTGACACTGTTCTTGAAGAAGTTTGCCGACTCTTCCCCAATAATGCAAAGGACACGGTATGAGATGAGTCATATGATGTTTAAGCCTGAATATTAACTCCTTCATTTTGGGCATGCTATATCTGATATAATGACCTATGATGTGCATACACATCATGATTTGCAATGAGTGGGCCGGCTGTACACAGCTTAGGCCTAGCTGCAAAGTTTAGAATCTTGCATAATATTATATCACAGAAAATTCAGGCCCCATCATGGTAGGATTAAAATGCATGAATATATTTTCATTTGAGGATGACTATTTCTTATTGTATGTAGGCCTTTCTTTGTGTTGTATGTCTCTATGTTTTATTAATTTTGTACTCTTTCTTATGAAAGCCATACAATATCTCAACAAAATAAAATTTTACCTTTTTCCAAAAGAGAACTGCTTAGACATTTTTACCTTTTTACACAGTGCCGCAGCATGATTGAAGTTTATGGACCCTATGTAGTGAACCTTCTTGCTGAACTAGGGGACTCAAAGCGTGTGTGCCAGGCCGTAAAAATGTGCCCCCACCACACTTCAGAACCACTCCTGGGAGCTGAGAAGTGCACTTGGGGTCCTTCTTATTGGTGCCAGACCAAGATGCATGCAACAGCCTGTAAGGTAAGTCATAATATGTAATTGTTATGTTGTTGTTTTTATATGTCTAGTGTTTGTTGCTTTTTTGTCATGGATGACAAAGAGATCCATTGGTGACTAAGTATTTGCTGACAGTAGTAGTGGATTTGGTTGTGGTAAATTTCCTTGTTCTCTTTCTTTCACTTGCTTTTGTTTTCCCTCTCTTTTTTGCTTTCAGGCTTCCTTCATTGTTTTTTTATTTTATTTTATATATATATATATATATATATATATATATATATATATATATATATATATATATATATATTTATTATTATTTTTTTTTTTTTTTTTTTTTTTTTTTAAGCATTACCCTCCTCTTCCTGATATTAGTATCCCTGACATTCTTCTGCATCTTTTTCTCCATACATTCTTCATCTGATTCAGTTTATTTCTCATGCTGACTCCTGTCCTTTTTATATATTTATTTTTCTTTTTTTCTTTCCTTCCTCATTTTCTGCTCGTTTTTTTTCCATTCCACTGATACAATTCCATTGTTAATTCAGTTTCAATATCTGTATCTTTTTTCTTCCTTACCTTGTCTTTCACTGTTTCCATCTTAATAGGCAATTAAAGTAGGTATTTCATTCATGGAAATCAGTTTTATTGTATCTGTTAAATTTATATATCACAATAACATTATTGTTGCCATTTTAGACATTATAGACCAGGGGCCCCAAAGTGTTTGATATCCTACCCTTGGGGGTCAATGGGTCGATAAATGCCGTAACAATTTTTGTTGTGTTTGGATCATAAAGTTTGGATGAATGTTCGTATAAGCAACTAGAATAGATAAAATATAATTTGCAGATACACATTTGTAATTTATATGCACTTAGTTTATATTGTCTGTTTATTTTATATTCTGTTTATATTTTGTATCCCAATATTTTATGATAGATATTCACCATGGGAATGGGCTTGGTATGCAGTTACCCTTACTAATGCAAATAGAAAGCAAGGTTTGGCTTGCAGTTCCCCTCACTAATGTATATGGAAATGGCACATCTACTTAACTCCTTTGCTGCCCAAAATCAGGGCATTAGGGTTATTTAGGCTAATCTTACAATGTACAGGTGTACTTGTTTGGTTTCAAGGCTCCTTTTCTTCCCTTAGCAGTGTTGTTATGCTGTTTAATGCTTAAGCCTTTTTTTTCCTCCACCAATGTCTATTTACCATTTTATATGCTGTATTCAGATGCTAATAAACTGTTTTCCTCACAGTATCCCTGCTCAGGAGTGCAGTAACATTGTTATGTTTGTTATTTATTATTTATTATTATTTTTTTTTTTTTTTTTTTTTTTTTTTTTTTTTTTTTTTGCAATATTCAATTTTTGTTAATACAACCTGCATTGCTGGTTATAGAGGGGGTAGGAATAGGATCCTGAGCTGGTGCTCTTCCAGTCATGGCTCGCAGAGGATGTATTTCACATTCGTTTACTGATGGGAATAATGGAAGAGCCTCTTCCTAAATCCTCCAAGTGCTTTTTGCAATCATAGCGAGTCATTCCTGTCACCCTGGCCTTCAGGCAAATTTTTCCAAAATGGCATAAAGGGGTTCTTGGTTTATGACAGTCTCGACTCATGACGTGTCATGGATACGACACTAGAAATCTAGTTTGTCTTCATTGTGTTCCTTTAGCCCTAGTTTTGTTTTCGTATATGTCATAGAAGTGTGTTATGTTTTAGATTACGACTTTTATACATGTACAGATAGGCACCGAAGTCACTCACATGTATGTACATGTGAGTGACTTCGGTGCCTATGTATGTATGTACATGTACTGTATTTATGTGTGTTCCAACTTATGTCGAGAACTCCCTTTATTCATATCATCTTGTGCTCATACCAGATTTTTACATGACATGATGGTCATGTTATCTGGATGCAAGGGTTTAAATATTAATATATATTTTTTTTGTATGTGTCTGGGAGTGAATGAGAAATCAAGGATTTTGTGTAGTCAGTTGTTTAAAAAATTGGGGACTCTGGTGTCAACCAATTTGCCAACTGTTGATGTTTCTTTGTTTCTTCTAATTTTAAAGGAAAGCACAATACTCACAAGTTCCATTCCATTCCAGGCAACTGTTCACTGTGAAACGAAGGTGTGGAAGGGAGTTGTTCCTGCCGTTTAAAGATAAAGGATTGATTGAAGAAGAGGAGGAAGAAAAGAAAAAAAGAAAGATGCAGATGAAGACAGAGTGGATGTAGATATTGGAAGTGCTTTTTTTTTCTTCAAAAAAGCAGCAATGAAAAAATAGATCAAATCAATTGTTTATTGTATACACTTGTCATTTTGAAAAACTACTGTCTGTGATGAATATTTTTTTATGCTTGATGATTGTGATTCCTCCAATTTGGCTTGTATTTTGTTTTGTTAGTTGTAAGGAATAGTGGAATTACCAGGATGTCTGAGGATATATAGAAAGATAATTTTAGAAGCATTCTGTGCGTTTGGTGTTGAATTAAAGAAACTTGTCGTTTCGTCCATTGGTAATGTTATTATTTTTTATTCATCCTAAATTCTACTTAAGTGGGTATCTGTAGTAATTATTTGTACCTCAGCATGCTTCTGTTGTAGAAATTCATTTATCAGTGGCACCTATATACAGGCTTTGATATATCTCTTAGCAGGTTTGCTATGCAATAGGGTATGTTCACTTTTAGTTCATATAGGCTTTCTTCTTGGATATATACATACCTATCATATTTTGCTTTAATAATATCAGAAGCCTTGTATCATGATCTTTGGTGGGTTTGATGTTAGCTCCACATATTCAAGCAAGGTAACTGTGATTATTGTTACCCCTGAATGATTTTACATCTCAAACAAGATATATTTTTATGTTCACAGAGATCATTAATATTGAGCAATGTTGTTGAAAGTGCTGGAACCTCAAATTTTAGTTTGTTGATCTCTGATGTATATGACCAGTGATTGTTGTAGAATAAGAGTATTCAGAATTATATGTAACTCTTGCATGTTACATCATGGAACAGAGTGCCTGTACAATGATATATTGATAAAGGCTGTCAAAATTTCCTGGATTGTATTATTTTAAACTATAATGAAACTTAATTGGGTGAAACTCCAAAATCTGGATATTATGGAACTACAGGATGCTGCAAAGGTCATATAGTACATAGCTATATATTTTAACTGTTCCTGTGAAGGAAAGTTGTATATTCGTCTCGGTTCATCAATTAATTGGTTTCTTGTTAGTTTTTGAGGAGGACTGATGCAAAAAGTTACTAATGATGGACAAGGAAATTTATTTTTTGGGTTATTGATAGCTAAGTACCAGCTATGATTTTGGTGGTATGAGCCAGGGTAGACCGGTATAAACTGGGGTAGATAACGAGTTGACCTGAGTTAAGAGTCTGTTAGTTGAGTGTCCTTTTGAACATCTTTTAATCTTTGTTTTATGCAAAGATCCTTATAACAGTTTAGTTCCTCAAAGAATGCAAGTAGTACAAAAAAGTCAGTTATAGTTAATATGAACTGGCTTCTAAATGATACTGAAGTTGCCAATGACTGTTAAGGCTGTACATGATCCATTTCCTCCTTTCACTTTCCATTACCACTATGAATCTTTACTAGGATAACCGTTGTTGTCGTTTAGAGGTTTATGTGATGTTGAGCAGGATCATCTGTTCATACCCAGCAGCAAACAGTCGAGCTACCAGGCAGGCGGCTTCATGGTCTTGTCTAGTGATTTCTCTTGATCACACTCTTGGTTTGCCTGCCAATTTTGGCAGAACAATGGGTATTGAAATGAACTTCATCATATGGACGGAGCCTTGTTCGATGAATACATGCCAAATCTGATCGTATTTACAAGTATATATGTTGTATTTACAAGTATTCATATCAAAGGAGTTTCATGACCATTATCATTTTCATAATAGAGGAAATTATATATTGCAGTGAGAACATAACAGTAAAACAAGATAGTCTCTTTCAATAGTCTTTAGATATCAAGTACCCGAATGGCTGTATAATCATGTCACGGTCCTAACACATTTCATAATAGAAAACCTAGCAAAATTGAATGAACACAAATTTTGATACATAATGGTCCCGTTATGGTAGTACGGAAGATGAACATCTTTATGATATTTACCCTCCCAATCTCATGCCCGTTGATGTCGTGTGGTTGTAGTGGGTGAGTGGGGGGGGCTTAGAAGACTAAGACAGGCCCAATGAGGCTGATGACCCCCAAGGTCTAGTACTTATTTAGACCTTGGTTACCTTGGACCTCAGCCCTCGCCTTGACTAATTTTGCATGGATTTTTCTTCTCCACCTTTCTTTCTTTTTCTTCTTCATCTCCCTTCTCTGTCCACATCCTAAGTGCGAGAGCTGTGCTGAAAGGAAGAAAGGCTGGCTTTGTGTCAGTCCTGAACAGCCTTCGTACTTCATTTGCTATTTGCTATTTTCCCTTTTCACTACCATACAAACCAACAACGCTCTACAACCTTTGACATCTAACATATTTTGTCCTAACTGTTAACTCGTTCTTAACTATTTTTGCTATAGTACCTTTTAATAATGCTGCATGACCTTTCCTTACCTGGAACTTCGCCCCCAAGCCTTGCCCTATTACTCTATTTTGCATATGCCGCTAATAACTTAGATGTTGACCTGGCAGAAGATTTTCAATAAATAAAAATACGATCTTTATGGCTTGGTGTTTTATAATATAAAATGGAATTAGATATTCATGTAACATACAGGATTTATGACAATTGACAACAATGATGAATGTGCATATATTGATGCCGATGGTCTCCCATTGAACATGCAGAATGCACAGAAAAAGGTTTAGATTGGAGTGTTAAAAAATCGCATTTGTCACAGGTTTTCTAATAGTATGTCTCAAAATGTACACATTTTAATATTGTTTGGCATGTTGACGTCCAAGTAGTGTGCATAACGTGGCATGTAGATAACAATTTTGGTATGCTAGGCGAGAGTTAATGGGAAAAGGTCAGTACAGAGATCCCCGAATAACTTGCGGATTGAGCCCCGAGTCATAGAAAATTAAAACATGTTCAAGACAGTCAAGTGAAACATAAGAGTAATGTGCACACAAGGTGATACTTTGTAAGGAAGAGAAACACAAAAAGGGTACCCAGTGATTTGTTCATTTATATCGCATTGATATATATACTGCATTTCACAACACTGAGTCAACCGCCTGACTTGTTCCCGTTTCCCTCCCTTTTTT